ATATTAACTTATTCTAGAAAAATGGGCAGATATGATAAGATTTTTTTCTTCTTCTGCTACCTTTCATTCAGCTCATGATTTGTATTTATTTGTTTGATGAATTTATGTTGGGGTTTTTTTAAAGAAAAGGAATAAACTTAAACTAACAAAAGGATAAAATTTTCATCTACCTCCACAAAGGTCTGAAAATTAGCCAATGTCCCATTTTGCTCTGCTTTGAGCTCTACCTCATGTCCAGTTAAAACAGGTTTGTATTGTTTCAAGGGTGTAGTTCAGTGTTTTTCAACAAAACAAGATTGGAACTTTGAAGGTGTATTGTGACCTTATAACACCGCATCAGTTATTTAAAAAATTGCTTATCGGCCAAAATCGGAATCGGCAGGTCAGACTTTTTGAAAATGGATGTTTGGCCAGAAAACTGAAATYGGTGCACCCCTAATTTAAATTAGTATTTTTCACAGGTTTTGCAGAGATTTTTACAATTACAAGAGCTGTATTTTCTTTTAAACTGAACAAAAAAAAAACTAAAAAGCTTTGAAAATGTTTTTTACTTTGTAGGGTTTGGATCATGAATTATTTTTACTACACATGTTGGTGACTTCTGTAAAAGGCCTTGCAGTGACTTATTGTTTATGTGGTCTAGACACACAGGAAGGCTGCATAGAATTTGTCATTTGTCCTTTGCCAGATCTGTCACTTGCTATTTTACCTCTCTTTTCCTGTTTCACAGCTCTCTTACTGGAAAATGGCATCGTGTTGCATCCCGCAAATGCAACAAAATGCTTTTATCAATAGGCCGTATCACTGTGTTGCTGTTAAAGTAAAATAAGGTAGTTGACAAGCTTTTTTCCCCCCTCCTCAGGCTTTGTCTGGTGAAATGAGTCCTTTCCTGTGCAGTGGCAGTCACCAGGCCCAAAGGGACTGCCAGCCCAGTGCCCTGAACTGCTTTGTGGAAGCCATGTCCCAATGTGTGCCTCCGATTCCCATCCGGCCCTGTGTGCTGAAGTACCTGGGCAAGACGCACAACCTCTGGCTGCGCTCCACCCTCATGCTGGAGCAGCAGGCCTTTGAGAAGGGCCTGAGCTTGCACACTAAACCCAAGCAGAGCACAGAGTTTTATGAACAGGAGAGCATCACACCGCCTCAGCAGGTAAATCTTTTATTCATTATTAAAGCTGTTTTTTGAGGCTCACTTGTTGATCCTAAATGTGTGCCTAATAAAGAGATTTTATTTKAGAAATTTAGCCTCTAATTCAGTTTGAAATGATTCTTCGTGAGGTGCTACTTGGTTTGAGGAAACAGCATCATTTTTAAATTAGTTTTGACACTCTCTTAATTTTTGTTTCTCATTCCTGCAGGAGATTTTGGACTCCCTGGCTGAGCTGTACTCGCTTCTCCAAGAGGAGGACATGTGGGCAGGTTTGTGGCAGAAGAGGTGCAAGTTTCCTGAGACGGCAACAGCCATTGCCTACGAGCAGCATGGCTTCTTCGAACAGGTGAGGAGAAAAGAACTTTTGGGTCTTTCAAATGGACAAATAAAACAGCATTATTTTAATGTTTCAGAAACCTAGTTGTTTCATTGTATGGTTGTTTTAAGAGGTTTTAGTTTTATTGGTGAGGTGTTTGTAAAACTTTAATGTGGTATTATTTTATTATTTCTAATTAAGTTGGGCAGTATTGATAATTTTTGTACCGCATATAAACTTTACAAAATCTCAGAGGGGATAAAGCATATTGAGTAATTAATAATTAAAGAAGATGCTATTTATATGCATGTAAGTTGACATTCTAGCGGCAGAGAAAACAAAACAAAACAAAAAAACATCCACTGAAAGAGTCTGGAATGTTTGTTCCAGTTTTCATAGACTTGTGGAAATTTGGCACTTCACCTCACGTGATTCATATCTCATCATAATTCTTAAATACCGTCACCATAGTTTAATACTGCAGTATACCAAAATTTCATTGTTCATGACATACTACAACATGTATTTTCAGGCCCAGGAAAGTTATGAGAAAGCAATGGAAAAGGCCAGAAAAGAGCATGAGAGGAGCAATGTTTCTCCGGCTATTTTTCCTGAGTACCAGCTGTGGGAGGACCACTGGATACGGTAGGATTTTTGAAGTAGAAATGGATATATTTTTATGTATTATGCACCACTGACTGGATAAAGTCTAAATATCATTAATTTGTGTTTGTTACACTTGATGTTTAAAAACCTGTCCATGTTTGATTAAATTGTGTGACCCACTGATCCACCATTTAAATGCAACATCTACCCAAGATTTTATTACCTTCTGATCTCCTTTTGCCCTCATCTCCAGCTGTTCTAAGGAACTGAACCAATGGGAACCATTGACAGAATACGGCCAATCCAAAGGTCACTCAAACCCATATTTAGTGCTTGAATGTGCTTGGAGGGTTTCCAGTTGGGCTGCTATGAAGGAGGCTTTGGTTCAGGTGAGAAAATATCTATCACAATTTGGTAATCATATTCATGAAGGTATTTAAAAAACAGTTTTTTGGATGGTAAATGGTAAATGGACTGTACTTATAYAACGCCTTTCTATCCATCCAGGACACAAAGCGCTTCACACTACAGACATTCACTCATGCACACACACATTCACACACTGATGATGACAAACTACAATTGTAGCCACAGCTGCCCTGGGGCACACTGACATGTCCTGATGCATCTCAGTAATCCAGGTCGAAAAAATATATATATAATAATAATTGCCTATATGCCACGGACATCCGGTCCATCACGTGATGCCACTCCGATCACTTCCGGTTTGCGGTCAACACAGTGTTAGCGAAAGATTTTTTTCACTCAACAACGACTCTTAATGATCTCCACAGTACAGAATTAGCATATTACATGTACCAACATAAACACAGGAGACGTACAGGTCCAGCCAAGTGGGAAAAAAATCACTCCAAAGTGGATTAAAGCCATAAAAACAAAGGAAAGATGTTCGTGTTTATGGTTCCAGAATTTAGCCTTTTTCGCTATTCCTTGGCTGCTTGTTCCGTGAATTTTTCACGTAGAGCTGTGGCACTTATATTGTTGGAAAGAGCAGAGTCTGGGCTTTAAATTGATGGGCTACTTGTATGGTTTGGATCGTTTTCCCCGACGTTAGTGAACTGAAAACATAATGGTAAATGGTACTGAACTTATAGAGCGCTTTTCAAGTCCCTCCGGACCCCCAAAGCGCTTTACACTAACAGACATTCACCCATTCACACTCACATTCACACACTGATGATGGCAAACTACACTGTAGCCACAGCTGCCCTGGGGCACACTGACAGAGGTGGGGCTGCCATGCATCGGCGCCACCGGACCCTCTGACCACCATCAGTAGGCAAGGTGGGTGAAGTGTCTTGCCCAAGGACACAACGACTGAGACGGCTGGACAGGGGATCGAACCAGTGACCTTCTGGTTCCAGGACGACTCCCCTAACCACTCCGCCACAGCCGCTGATAATGATTATCAGGCGGAGGTTCTGCTGCTCTTGGTACTCCGGGGGGGTTGTCGCTCGTGTTTTGTTTATGCTGTAATATACATTCTAACAGAGTTTTTATTTTTGCATAAAACTCATGACAAAGTTTCCTAAAAACATTTCATACTCTGTAACACAAACGCACGCACACACCTACTTTTGTACCGGCTGCTGTGTGTTAGCTTCCTCCTAGCTGTGAGGTGGTTTTTCCTCTGTCGTCTTGGCAGTAAAAGGGGATGAATATACATTTCCCTTTTGTAACCTCGTCTTCTCATTTCTGATGCTGGCTCTTGAATATCCTCGGGTTAGAAATGCCGATTACAAATGCAAGCGTGAGCTTTTAAAGATAAGTTTTGCCTGTAATGCTATAATCCACTGCTGTCACCTTTCCTCCTCTAGAGGAAACTGGATAAAAACTAACTACTCTATCATATCTGCTGCTTAGTGGACACAACGGCACACAACAGAACTCACGTTTTATACCAGTAGCTCACAGATGCTTTAACTTTTGTGACTTTTTCACGGAGTTGTATTAGGAGCTTACGCTAAAAACAAAGGCAGTAACCAGGAAGTGGAAGGGAGAAGCGTGGCAAGAATTTTACCGGAAATACGTCATTAATGACCGTGGCATATAGGCTATTAAGTAGGTCCTCTAGACGGGTTCTTCTTTAATAAAACTCAGCCTGCCTGCACATGGTTGGACAAGCAGGTTTAACAAACATCAAAGCTGTCTGTTTACATGCAAAGGCAGACMATCAGCCTAACAATTGATCAGTATTGCCCTGATCATCACCTATTGTTCATAGAGGATCATGTGCTCCATCACCTGACTGTCATTGGGGTCCTGATTCACACCTTTTGCTCACAAGGGGCTGAGTCATATTTGCAGTAACAGCGTTGTAGGAGGAGGWCAACTGGAGACGAAGGCCTCCACCTCTGTTTAATGGTGGACAGTTTTTCTTCACTAAAATGGGTTTTTACTCCTGTCAAACCAGTGTTCTTCTCTATTAAGGATGAGAACATCTTCATCCCTGAAAGAGTGACCGCTGGCCTGTAGATGAGTGTAAACTGCAGAGTCCTGGCCTGATGATCTAGCTCTTCTGTGTTGGCCCATTTTATTTTGAGTTTTTACCACAATCACATGTGATGCAGCTCATAATGTTTCTGAGCATAAAGGACCAAAGTGACTCTACTGAAGCATTTTCATTTTAGCTCTACTTTCYTGTGTAATATAGCTTTTTAAAGACAGCCCCTGTATTAGTTTGWATAAGTTAGGGAAGATGTTATTGGTGCTGTCCAGTCCTGCTGTAACCTGACACCTCCTGTGAAAGTGACWGATGAGGCTGTAAAGCTGTGGAAATGCTGCTCAGCTGTTTTGTGTGTGAGTTTAGTAGCTTCATGTTTCTTGAAACAAAAYGTGGATGGGTGGCGAGAGTGTGATAGAGCCTGACATATAACAAATACGCCTGCTTTGCTCTTTCAAGGAGACTTGGAAYCAATCCATCGAGTCGTTCTGTCCTTAGGCGACATCTAATTAAATYGTTTGGATGGCAACATCATCTCCACTATATCTTTTTCTTCGTGTTTCAGTCCTCTGTGTATTCACTCCTTTCTTGTCTTGTCTTCCTAGCTTTTTTTCTTTACGTAGTTTTGTTTCATTTCTGATCTTACAACCCCCTTACCTTTAATTGTCCCCCGCCATCTTTTTCTTTTGTCTGTTGCATCGTAGATTTGGTTGTAACAGATTATTTATGACAGCTGTGTGCGTGAATAATTACTTCAGCATCTGCTGCGGGTGATCAGCTTTATAGGGGAAGAGAGGAGTGAGGCTTTTAGTTCCCCACCTGCCAACCACACAAAGGCAAAGTCCAAATGTCCCTGCTTTCAATTAAAGCTCACTCTTGATAAGGGCAAGCCTGTCTCAAGGATATTCATCAAGCCTCACCCCTGATAACTGCATTTTGACCGATCACTAATTTCCCCCAGCAGCGGAAGCGCTAAAACAGATACACACCTATTCTTTTCACTTTTCTTCTTATTGGCCTCCTCTCATTTCGTGTTGCTCTCAGTGACCTATAAACACTAAACAGCTCGCCGCAGGTGTGATGTAGGAGGCTCCCCGTGGCTATTATTTGTTTAGTGTTAATGCACTCAGCGTTTTAATCAATAGTAGGACCTTTTCCACCCCTCCGCCTCTGTGCCAGACTCGTAAGGTTTATTAGTCATTAACTACAAGCTGACACTGTTCAGAAAATGAAACCGCAAACAGTATTGTTGTGTATTTATCTAAGTGGCAAATTATACAGGGAAAATGACTCGGGCTCCTTCCCTTCGGATGTTTTCATTTAATTAAAGCTGCCACATCACAGCCTGGTGAAGAGTATGCGTAATTCAGCTTGACATCACGGAGACAAAGACGCACAAAAGAACAGCTCACCACGAACATGAAGTGTGTCAGTTTCTGGGGAATATGCCACTTATTTTAAATGAACTGAAGCTCAACAGTTTTTTGTTTGTTTTATGTACCATTTTCCTTATTATGTGTCATAGCTCAACATAAATAAATTACTATATAAACATACTTAGCTTAATAAAACTACAAGCTTCCTAYATTTACAACCCATAAAAAAATTGTGGTCAGTTAAAGAGTAACTTACCCCAAAATTAACTTTTTTTAGCTGATAAACTGTCTAGAATGTGTCTAAAATGTTATAT